TATCCAGTTATCAATTGTTTGCAATCCATATATGGTTCACTGTTGATTAAATTGTAAGAGGGAGGTAAAATATGGCTTAAGTTCAGGTTATTGTTTAAGGACATCATTTTTAAACAAAACCTTTCTGCTATCTGAGTTCTTCTCAGTAACAATGGTGGTATACAAGATTCACTTTCCATACTGTTAATGGGTGTGGAGCATATTGATCCTGTTATTATATGTAAAGCTCTATTTTGTACAATATCTAATATTTTTAACAAGCCTATGTCAACATTCATGTATGCCAACGTGCTGTAATCAAAATGACTTCTTACTTTTGTTCTATACAACACAGCTAAAGTTTTTGGGTCTGAACCCCAATATATATGTACATGTCAGAGATCTTATTATATTAAGGCGTTTATAAGCATTTCTTTCAATATTATTTATGTGACATTCTGAAGTTAGTTTTGGATCTAACCAAATGGCGAAGAATTTATTTTCGTTAAGCCAAGGCAGAGATATATTGTTGTACATTATTGCATCTGCATTATCATAATATTTTTAACAGAATACCATTTCTTCACTTTTCGTAGGACAAATATTAAGTTTGAGTTTATTGTTATAAAATTTATATACATCATGCAAAGCAGAGTTTTAGTTATTTAAAGCAATATTTACATTTTTATTTACACTATATATAACTAGATTATTTACAAACTGAAGGAAGTTAACATTTACTGCTTTTAAGTATTTCTTAAACTTTGACAAGTGTAGATATTATACAATAAAGGATAGGCAGTAGCTCCCTGCATTGGTTCCTTTGTATATAGTTTTAGGTCCATGAAGATTGTTATTATATTTTATGTACATCGTTCTTTCATGTAAAAATGTAAATATCCATTCACAGACTTTACCCGAGACTCCAATCTCACAGAGGATTTGCGCAAGGAGAGCAGGGCTGACATTATCAAAAGCGCCTTGAATATCAAGAAAGGCACATATGTACTGTAGCTGAGTGATTATAGAAACTATTCTTGATCCCTTCTAGACTTGATAGCCAAACAAATTCATGAATGGAAAAAATGTGCATAAAAAGAAAGCTCTAGGATTTCCAACATTACTAAAAAAAATATTTAAGTTTGTTTGTGCAATGTCTTTCAGGTGGTGTTAAAGAAGCACATTTGTCTAAAAATGAATTTATCTAACTGTCATCTTTACTATGTTTCTGAAAAGGTATGCGTTTAACTCTCCTTATATGATTCCAAATAACACAAACAGGTGTATTGCGATTAAATGTATCACACAAACTTTTCCAACTATCTTCTTCTTTTGCCTAAGTAGATTTTTCTTAATAACATCCAATCTTTATCTTCTTATAAAATCTATAGATCTATAGAAATTTTATAAGATAAGATCTTATAAAATTTCTATACTAGGCATCAGTCTGTAATAATTAAGTGTATCTTTACAGCACCTGCGCATTCATTGTCCCACCATGGAACTAATTTTTTAATGGTGTAGTGGTTTTTAATATGAGTGACTTTTGGTATACATCTTTTGGTATCTTTAACAATATTTAAAATGTTAATAAATTTATTATAGCATGAAAGCGGATCTGAAGTGTTAATAGTAAATTATTTACAAGCTTTCCTTGTTTCAGAATTGAACAAAGTCGAATTTGCTTTTTTGTACAAATAACTAATAATTTGACTTCATATTTTTCTGCATTTAGATAAATGTCACAAATAGTGGGATAGTGGTAGCTGCCCATTAGGTCATCATTTGCTGCCAATGTAAGGTAATAATTATCTATTGTTCTTCCAAGCAATATTGAAACTTCGTTCGTTTTATATGATACTTTATAAGGTTAACCTTTAGTTTGTCTTTTATAAAATGGATAACAACAGGTCTAGTTATCGTGATCCTCTTATGTTATTAAGCTTCTTATAGGTATATTAGTCTCTACACTTTTTAGTCTAGCGTAGTTTACAGACAAGTATGATTTATTTTTATCAAAGACAGCAACTTTCTTTTATTATTGATAAACAGGTGTAATGTTATGGAAAGCCGAAAACAATATTCAAATAACGCTGTGCAGGAAATAATTAGAATAAAAAAATAAATAAATGATCTTGGTGGACTTATTCTGTTTGAACTTGTGATTTTAAATGTACAACATGTCATCTTTGTAATTTTATCAATGTAATTAATTATATTCAGTTTATCTTGTCAGAAGACAGTTTCATCTTATCTGCCCGTGGTCACTTTTGTTGTAAAGGAACGGAAATTTCGATAGTATGTAGCGGTTAAATAATGAAAAAATGCGTAATATTTCCGAAAATCTTGATTTTATTTAATCTTTATTGTCTAGGATCAGCATGACATCTACAAAACAGGCTTTCTTAAAGGTTTCTCTAGAGTTTTACATTTATACGTATGTATATATGTTTATAAATTATACTATATTTTAAAACGAGTTCACTTTAGCAGTTACCCAAATATAGACATACGATTCAGCAGCTTAGGTACCAGGATATCATAAATCGCTATGCACATTATTTCAAAATGAAAGACAAAATTAAACACACACACATATTATGTAGAATAACCACATGTTGGTTCAAGCTAATCTATAATACTATAGTAAACCTACGAATATACTATGGATGTATGAAGGCAAGGGAGACAGTCGATAGTATTTCAGACATACAGTGACTTGCGTAACATTACCTTACTGTTGCATGGATAATATAGATAGTTAAAACTAATCTAGTCAGCCTTGAGTACAGTTGTAAAGCATCCAGCCTCTTGGAATTTTATAGGATACACGCTAGAAAGTTTCCTTTTCTTTTACTCTCTTATTGATTTTGTACTATCCACTATAGATTAAATAAAACTTGGTATGACGATTATTAACAATGTTATATGTTTAAGTTAGTAATTTTCTCAAATAAGTGACTATGTATTGTCTTGTTGAGAATAAAGATCTTTAAACCTAAACCTAAAGTGTGTTCAGGAATTCTACTACTTAATTTCACCCCCTTTTTATCAACCAACAACCAGATGCACGGTGGGTATACATTCGTTGTCGACCTTTCTCTCATCCGAAATAATTGAAAAATAATCTTCTGTAAATTGCTTACATACTCTTTTCGTTTGTGTTTGTAAAATATCAAAACTTTTACAAAGTTAGATAACAGATTTCTTTATAAAGCAGGTTATAGTTCTTTTTTTAAGAGAAAGGTGGCAAACGAGCAGACGGCCTACTTGATGGGCAGTAGTCACCGTCGCCTATAACATATGTTGCGGATGTCCATGGGAAGGATGAGAATAATGAAAAGGCAACCGGCGCTCTCATTCTTTGGACAAAACGCAGCCATCAAAGACGCCGATCTCCTGTGAGAGTGTGATACTTTCCCGATGGAGCCAGCCCATGTTCGAGCTGTAGTTTCTTGACCCAGGTAGGTTCTATCAGATTGAATAAAATTATATTATTATTAATATAATTAGCACAATATGTAAAATTCTAACCTTCATATCCCATTAACAGAATCAATTTGTTTAATTATAATAGTAATTGAGTACATGTAGTTGCACGTACACGTTCGCCGTGCCGAAGTTTATAGGTGTTAGGAATCCTCGTTACGGAATTTATGTATTCGGTCTCCACGCTCAAGGCCCGCGATAGAAGCAATGCAATAGCTTAAAAACTTATTTCTAAATAATTTTGGATAAAGTGCCGTAAACCAAATTAAAATTCATGTTTTTAGATTTGTTTTTAATTTTGTTTTATTTTTGGTTCAATAGAAATCTTATTCTCCCTCTCGTCGTTTCTTAGTTGAAATGGAATTATTTGTTAATTAATTAATTTTAATGAATTGAAAAATTATAAACAGTTGAGAAACGTACAATAGTTAAATAAGTACTAAAATACTAATGTATGTTATCATATACATATGTATATCGATAATGGATTAACCTAAGGGCGATTACGTCGAACAATAATATAATATTAAAAAAAATCATTTTTTACTTATTTGAACACCCCTCATAGATAATCGAATCTAGTAATAGCTTTTTAGAGAAGCAATTAAAGATACTATCTATCTAATAATAATATAATCTTTATTGTTGTGAAAACTTAAAGAAACCACATCACTCTTTAAAAATAAAAAAGAGCAAAAATAGTTAATGAAACTTGTTATGCCCTATGACACGAGTGGGAGATGTATATAAAAGCTCAGCACATAGTACTGTAACAGATCAAAGATAAAACAAACTCATAATTTTTGTACAAAATTAATTCAATGTAGACATTAAATATTTTAATTCATTATACGGAAGTATTAAACGTATGACTTTATGATAATTAAGTAGCAATAGTCAAGAAAGAGTCAGTGGTGGCCTAGTGGTTAAAGGGTTCGCCTCTCGTTGCCGAGGGCACGGGTTCAAACATGGCAAGTACCAATGTGATTTTTTCGGACTCATATGTACTTTCTGAGAGTATTTAGACACCACTGACATACGGTGAAGGAAAACATCGTGAGGAAACCTGGACTTATAGTTTCATAATTATAAGTTTGAAATCACCAACCCGTCTTGAGCAAGCGTGGTGATTAATGCTCAAACCTTCTCCATGTGAGAAAGAGGCCTTGCTCAGCAGTGGGCGTTAATAGGCTGATGATGATGATGATGAGTCAAGAAAGAAACAGTATTGTTATTGGAACAAGACATCTAAGTATGTATATTGAAACATTTGAACTTCGCGATCTAATTATAACCTCGTTACGATTTTAATTTTTATAAAAAAACACTACAGAAATCTGCCATATATCAATAGATATTCTATAATACCTACCCACATAGGGAAAACCTAATTTTTATCTCAAAATCACGGAATTGTTAAATTAATTTTAAGATCCAATAGACGATATGTACAAAAACACCGATTAGATATCATACAATATAAAAACGGAAGTTTTTCCCAATTTCACATTAAGTCTTCAGTCTCCGTCAACATGAAACTCCTCTTGGCTGTCGTCGGTCTATTCGTGGCTGTTTCAGCCAACGATCCCATCAACAATGACTACCACAACACCATAGGTGTGTATGAAGCTGCTCGTATCAAACAGGCCGAAGAATCAGCTGACTTCGATGGCAGCAGGATCGCAGGAGGAAACTTCGCGTCCCTCGGTCAATTCCCTTACCAAGTAAGTAAAATATGGCAAATTTCGTCTGTACGTGTATTTTTTTTTATTATACACATTAATTTCTCTGTAATATTATTTCAGGCTGGTTTAATCATCGGGTTGACTGACGGCAGACGATCAGTTTGCGGTGCGTCTCTCATCAGCAACACCAGATTGGTTACGGCTGCTCACTGCTGGCTTACCTATGACGTTGCAGCCAGTCAATTCACCGTTGTTCTTGGCTCAGTCAATCTTTTTTCTGGTGGTACTCGTATCAACACCACGAATGTCCAACTACATCCAAGCTATAACTCGTGGACTCTTGCCAATGATATTGCTATCATTATCATAAACCCCGTCAGCTACTCCAGTGAGTTATTGTATCTTATATGTATGAAATGACTATGTACAAGTAGATTGAAATATATAGTACCTATATTAAACTGATTCATTGAATTTTAGATACCATTAGGAACATTGGTCTCGCTAGTGGAAGCAACCAATATGTTGGATCTTGGGCTACTGCGTCTGGATTCGGTCGTTATGCTGACGGTTAGTCTTGTAGTTATTTCAGCGGTATTTTAATATTCGTTTTTCAAACGATTACTTTTATGTAATTATAACAATTTTTAACGTTCTTTAGGTTCCGGTGTTTCTGAAAGACTCCGATACGTTACTTTGCAAGTTATCACCAATGATGTGTGCAGAGGCACTTATCCAAGCACAGTCTTAGATTCCAACCTTTGTGTTGCTGCTCCCAACGGACGCAGTACTTGTGGATCAGACTCTGGTGGTCCCCTGGCTATTGGCAACACAATGGTATGTATTTGCATTTCACTTCATACATCATTTAATTTCCTCTTTAAAATAATACTTATTTCTTACAGATTGGTGTTACATCTTTCGGTCATCGTGAAGGATGCACTCGTGGACACCCCGCCGGTTTCGCTAGAGTCACATCCTTCTATTCATGGATTCTCTCAATCTAAATATGAATACGGTGATAACTTATGACGATATCTTTGTTAAATGATTGAAATATGAATAAACATGGTATTATAAACATATGGATTTTTTATTTGGAAACAATAGACAAACATAAGACAAAAATAAAGTACACAATTATTATATGGTTTTGCTTGAGGTGGAAGCTTATTTAAAAAATTTTGACAATAAACTACATCAAGTTTATAAAATTAATGAATAAAGTATTAATTCTTATGTGAGATTTTTACATAAAATTTTAATATAACTGAATGTGAAAAAAACACCCACTACTTAAATTTTCATATCGGTCTTATTGGTATTCACTGTTTTATGCTAAGGCAATTGATGACTTTTCGGTGACCAATAAACGCCGGAGTTGTGCGTTGAAGTAGAATAAATGTATTTCATATCGTTTAAAATGTTGCAGTTGAACGTTGTGTAAAATCATTATTTATTTAATTTTTAAAACTGTATCAGCGACGTTTTAATTTAAGCCATCTACATCTGTAATGCGTACGGATGAAGTTGTTAGTATATTACATGTTATAGAGACAAAACCTCTAAGCATTCCATGGATTCACTTTGCGGGTGCGGGGTCCATCACGTTACAGGGCGAGGAGCTTTAACAATGCCTGGGGCTCGCGACCAAGGTGTAGATTTAAGGTGACCCTCTCTAACGCGCGTTAAATGCTCACCTCCACCGACCAAGCTTCTCTCTCTACCTAACCAAATTTGAAACGAACCTACTAGGGCTGCTTGGAAGCACGTTCCAAGAATGAACTGATGTAAGTTCTTAACAGGCCCAAGTCTTTTAGGAGGTGGTACAGGAATTTGACTGTTATACCTCTTGCTCCTACTACTACCGAATACAAATTAATAAAGAAATTATTCTTAGTCACTTCGTTAGTGATCTCGTAATACCTGATAACCTTGACGGCATGGTCTTTGGGGACGTTGGTGTCACAAGGAAACGTGAGCTCTATTAGCACAAAGTACTTTAAAATTCTCGAATATAAAAATATATCTCGAGTATAAAAATTTTTGGCATCATCATGGTTCTCGTAGTGGTGCACTTATCACAAAATTATAAATCACTTGAATGGGTGCGGCGTCTGAATCTTTCTTATTGGGTGAGATTTATCCGTTTAGTATAACCGTATGTATTTTTGTTTAACGATTTGAATATGATCAAACATGGTAACTTAAATATTTTTTTTTACTTTAAGTATTATTATTGTAAATGTAAACAAATAACATATAAATTAAATACGCAATTATAATTATAAAATTTATGATTCCTTCATTTGTTTCATATTTTGCTTAATTGTAATCATCCACAGAAATTGTTTTTTTACCCTTCACTTGTATCTCCTCTAATATTTCCAAAATATTCTATATGTTTAAAAAAAATCAAGTAATTTATTCGTCGGTTCTTTTATATGTAGACAATATGGAAATCTATATATGGGTAGTTCTACTCACGGTGGAATAAATTTGACCATTTTTTGTTGTTACTTGATAGAAATGGAGAGTAGACACCAATAATATACTACAACTTATCCATTCTTTAAAGCGCCAGACAAAATTATGTTTAATATCAATTTTATAACGCTTTTTCTATTTTCGATGAACAGGGAAGTGAGAACATGTACAGGGAAGTGAAAATTACATTAAAAGTAGTATTAGGGTCATATTCTTTATTACAAAAGTAAAAAAATAATAAAGTTAAAACGCGTTCAGCCCTAAGATTCAGCGTTATAACTTTTAAATACGTTGTAAAAGCTATTAATTTTGCATTAAACTGTAGGTATGGAAGTACCTATTTTATATTAACTTAAAATAATCATCAAGTCAGACGTATAATCTCAATAGGCACTGTTTTAATACAATTTCTTTGCGCCCATTGATGACACATGATGCATTCGATCCAATCTTGTCCAGTTGTATCTTCTTTATATAAAGCTCCACAAATAAGATAAGAACAATCATCTGATTGATTCACTTTCATTCCATTTCTTTTTTATCCCTTTTACTAACTTGTTGTTTGAATTTAACTTAGCACTTTTTTCTCATTTAGATTGCTTCTCTTTTTGTTTCCTGTTATTTTTATCTTTCTCCAATCCTTATCTTTTTCCATTGAAGTGCCATTTTCATTAATATCCCTCTTCTTGCTTTACCGTGACTCTGGAACTGGAAATAATTTATTAGTATCTGTATCGGGCATCTTCAGCAATCCATCAAAATCATCAGTATTAAGTCCAAAGTTACTTACGAGTATAAGGTCACTCATGTCTGTTAACTTCATAATACTGGTGCTGCCTTCATTATAACTTTCAGTATCAGATTCACTATATACATCATCAACCTTTGCTTTCATAGTAGAATATTTCACGATGCCCATTCGGAAGCGCTCGCATTGGCTACTGCAAAAACAGCTAAAAGTTTTCATCACCAGCTCCAATGGACAGTATGCATGAACTTGGTGTACTTCCATAGTGCCTTTAAATGGCACTAAATTTGGCTGATTGTCTGATATTAACTCTTCCAATTCTTCTATTTCGGTATCAGTTACAGTAAATACTCGTACTACGCACTAAATAATTGAATTGACACGTGTTTTCAGGCGATTCCATTTACACGTATTTTCAGACGATGGCCAAGTCTCAATATACATATGTATTTATATAAAACATTAAAGAATTTTAATACTGACATGCGTCACTATAAGATGCTGTTAATTATTATGTAACAACTTAATGCTCCGAGTACGGGGAATCCAGATACAATCGATTTTCAATTGTTGTGGACCACGATCGTGGTCTTAGAGACTGGACATATTAAGACAGAAAGTCGCTTAAGTAGAGACTGAATAAATCAATAACCGACTTGGTATTAGATGGATCTCACAAATTTTTACCGCAGAATAACTGAGTTGCGAGACTTGGTTTTTTTTGACAAGTATTGTTTTAGATGGGATGATTAGTTTCTCGTAATAATTGTAAAGCGTTTGTTGTAAATTTATCTAATCTGATAACTAATTTTTATATTTATCATTATAATTGACAACTCTGTATGGTTTATGTTAATTTCGTCATTAGTGATAAATGTAATGTTAAAAAAACGCTTGTACGAATCAATTTTTTTCAGCTTTTTAACCTTCCCTTATACTTAAATAAGTATTAAAATAATAAATGTATGTAATCATGTATACCGATAATGGATTGACCTAGAATAATAATATAATATTAAATAATTTCATTTTTACTTATTTAAACGCCCTCATAGGTAAACGAATCTTGTAATAGCTTATTGGAGAAGCAATTAAAGATACTGTCCACATATCTTACAATAATATATTCTTAATTGTTCTGCAAATTTAAAATACACATCAATCTTAAAAAAATAAAAAAGTGCAAAAACACATAGCACTTTAACAGATCAAAGATAAATAAACTCAAATCAAGTATTATAAGTATTATACGTAGGTATGACTTTGTGATAATTAAGTAGCAATGTCAAGAAAGTAACACTATTGTTACTGGAACAAGTATATTGAAACATTTGGACTTCGCGATCTAAATATAACTTCGTTACGAGTTTTAATTTTTTATAAAAAAAAACATTACAGAAATCTGCAATACATAAATAAATTTTCTTTAATGCCTACCCACATGGGGAAAACCTAATTTTTATCTCAAAATCACGGTTTAATTAAATTAATTTTAAGATCCAATAGACGATATGTACAAAAACAACGATTAGATATCATATAATATAAAAATTGATTTTTTTCCCAATTTCTCATTAAGACTTCAGTCTCCCTCAATATGAAACTCCTCCTGGCTGTCGTCGGTCTATTCGTGGCTGTTTCAGCCAACGACCCCATCAACAATGACTACCACAACACCATAGGTGTGTATGAAGCTGCTCGTATCAAACAAGCCGAAGAATCAGCTGACTTCGATGGCAGCAGGATCGCAGGAGGAAACTTCGCGTCCCTTGGTCAATTCCCTTACCAAGTAAGTAAATTATGGCAAATTTCGTCTGCACGTGGATTATTTTTTATTATAGACATTAATTTCACTGTACTATGATTTCAGGCTGGTTTAATCATCTTGTTGGCTGACGATAGAGAATCAGTTTGTGGTGCTTCTCTCATCAGCAACACCAGATTGGTTACGGCTGCTCACTGCTGGCTTACCTATGGTGTTACAGCTCGTCAATTCACCGTTGTTCTTGGCTCAGTCAATCTTTATTCTGGTGGTACTCGTATCAACACCACCAATGTCCACCTACACCCAAGTTACAACACGTGGACTCTTGCCAATGATATTGCTGTCATTATCATAAACCCTGTCAGCTACTCCAGTGAGTTATTGTATTATCTTATATGTATGAAATGACTATGTATAAGTAGATTAAAATATATAGTACCTATATTAAACTGATTCATTGAATTTCAGATACCATAAGGAACATTGGTCTCGCTAGTGGAAATAACCAATATGTTGGATCTTGGGCTACTGCGTCTGGATTCGGTCGTTATGCTGACGGTTAGTGTTGTAGATATTTCAGCGGTATTTTAATATTCGTTTTTTTTAAAACGATTACTTATAAGAAACGATAACAATTATTAACGTTCTCCAGGTTCTGGTATTTCTACAAGACTCAGATACGTTAACTTGCAAGTCATCACCAATGACGTGTGCAGAGCCACTTATCCACACACAGTCATAGATTCCAACCTTTGTGTCGCTGCTCCCAACGGACGCAGTCCTTGTGGATCAGACTCTGGTGGTCCCCTGGCTATTGGCAACACAATGGTATGTATTTGCATTTTACTTCATACATCATTTCATTTCCTTTTTAAAATAATATTTATTTCTTACAGATTGGTGTTACATCTTTCGCTCATCTTGATGGATGCACACGTGGACACCCCGCCGGTTTCGCTAGAGTCACATCCTTCTATTCATGGATTCTCTCAGTCTAAATGTGAATACGGTGATAACTTATGACGATAGTTTTTGTTAAATGATTGAAATATGATTAAACATGGTATTATAAACATATGGATTTTTTATTTGAAAACCTAATTATTATAAATCGAAGTATAAAAGTAAGACACAAATAAAGTACTCAATTATTACATGGTTTTGCTATAGGTGGAAACTTATTTAAAAATAATATGTAATCAATTACATCAAGTTAAAAAATTAATGAATAAAGTAATATTTCTTAGATAAAATTTAAACATAACTAATGAATAGTGAATGTGAAAAGAGCCGCTACTTAAATTTTAATATCAGTGTAATTGGTATTCATTGTTTTATGCAAAGTGAATCGATGACTTTTCGGTGACCAATAAACGTCGGAGTTTTGCTTTAAAGAAGAATAAATGTATTTCATTTCGTCTTAAATGTTGTACTTGAACGTTGTGTAAAATTATTATTTTTAAAACTGTATCAGTGATGTATTAATTTAATTCATCAACATTTGTAATTCGTACGGAAGAAGTTATTAGTGTATTACATGTTATAGAGACAAAACCTCTAAGCATTCCATGGAATCACTTTGCGGGTGCGGGGTCCATCACGTCACAGGGCGAGGAGCTTTAACAATGCCTGGGGCTTGCGACCAAGGTGTAGGTTTAAAGGGCCCCTTTCTAAAGAGCGTTAATCGATCATCTCCACCGTTTATGTTTCTTTCTCTTCTTATATACTAGATATTAGAAAAAGTAAAAGTAATAATAGGCATAATAAAAATATCTTTTTCGTTAAATTTCTTATTGACAAATTACTTATGCCCTCCCATAATACATAATTTATTTTTTTAATAATCTAATTTGAATAAACATTGAAATGTAGAATTTTTCAAAACAGTTTTAATTAAACTGTTAGATTTTTGATGTAATAACTTATTGAAAATTTGTTAAATTATAAAATAGTTCACACAAAATACATTGCTAAATGACAGCTGATGCGCAGTAGAAGCTCGCAATAGACCGAGAGCACTAACTCACTCACACTCGCTCAGATATATGTTCCTCGCTGTCGCACTTACGGAAGACTTTCAGTGTGCCTGGCCAGGTAAAAGCACCATCGAAACTGCCTGGTTACTGAGTAAATATAATTTAATACTTTCCTCAGTAACATACATATAAATCAGCTTATATATGTACTATAACGAAAATACAAATAAAATTATAATTTAGGGGTGCCTGGCTGGGTTTCCCACCTTACTAAGTGCCGGGCAATTTACAGCGTGAGTTCTAATATTATTACGATGAAAATATATCAAAACTGAATTTTGTACTAAGAGGAAAGTGAAAGAAAATTTTATACACCTTTAGAACGTGTTACCTGCCAAAGCCACCTCGAACCAAATTTCATATTTGGGGATCGTGACTACCTATATTGGGTACATCTATAGAAAAACTTTCAGCTTTTATAAATTAACGAATGCCTGACTGGCCGTGGCTCTTGGACTATTACGTATTGCTGCACTTATTAGAAAAATAAAAATCACTTTAATGGGTGCGGTGTCTGAATCTTTTTTGTTGGGTAAGATCCGTTTAGTATAACCGTAATGTATTTTTGTTAAACGATTTGAATATGATTAAACATGATAACTTAAATATTTGTTTTAGTTAGATGTAAATTAAATAATTTAATTATAATTAGAAAATTTATGATTCTTAATTTTTTTCATATTTTGCTTAACTGTAATCGTCCAAAGAAATTGTTTTTTTACCCTCCACTTGTATCTCCTGTAATATTTAAAAATATTCTATATGTTTAAAAAAATATCAGCAAAATTATTCGTCAGTTCTTTTATATGTAGATAATATAGAAGTCTATACATAAACAATTTCTACGTTAAAGTATACAAAGTTCTGCAGTGTACGATATATGAAAAAAAAAGTTATTACGACAGAATTTTAGTGAGATAATAAAGAACTTATATCCTTAAGAGTATACGCGGGAGACAGACAAAAAATATCTTTCCATTTTAATGGACCACTTCACTAGTTTTTCCTCTATATGTATAATGATATTTTTTTTTGTCATCATTTATAGTATTATAAATATTTTATATATTTTTTCGATTTTCTATATTTTATCTATTCTAGTTCTTCTATTTCTAATTTTATATATGTAATTTTTATGTTTTCTAATATTTATCTTGAAATGTTATTGACGCCGAATAATGTGGCGTATAACGGAACATTACATTTATTAAATATATATATTAAAAAAAAACCTTTTTTTTTTGTTCACGTGGTGTACGGTTTTATACCTACTCTTCCGTCTAGGGGAGACGGAGGCGGTTATGTGGGATTCACGGCCAGAAGGGCCCATGGTACCCACTAAAACACCAGCTGTCACTCCCCGTCGCCGTCTAGTGGATCGCCACGGAAATCGCCGAAGCATACATCCACGACGATCCCCCATCTCAGAGCCTAGACCCCACAAGGAGGTCAAGGACCTCGTCCCTACCCGTGACTAACTGCACCGGACTATACCGATGGGCGATGGGATCGTCACGTCCCGACGCCGAGTTTCCAAAAACCCTAAACAATACTTTAAAGATTTTTCCTTATTGTAACTTTATTTGAATTAATCATGTTAAGACAAAGTTTTTTATTATTCATTGAAACTCCCAATATGACGAATACATGTATATATTTATGTTACTAAGATATTACAAAGGACAAAGAATTTCTAGTAAAACTAGTTCTTTTGATTATTTTCTCGTAACAATTGTAAAGTTTTTGTTGTAAATTCACCTTATCTGATGGCTAACTTATATACTTTTCATTATAATTGATGACGCTATATGGGTTTATTTTAAGTTATCTTAAGATTATCACTTAAAATTTCTGATCTTAAAAATAAAATACAAATAACCTGTTAATTAATTGAACTTACATTTGTCAACTCTCTCTTTCTGTTATCTAAAAATCCATGTTCGCTTACCAGAAAAGAATACACATTTATAAATTACTGTCTAATACCAGTAATATTTGAATAGATTGTTTAATAGTATTATTTTTTTATATCCGCGACATAAAATTCAGTAAAATTAGGGGATGCTAAAACATTTTATTTAAAAATAAAGGGCACCATCTTTTAAATTAGATAAAAAATATTTACAGTATTTTGAATTACAATGTTTATGATATAAGAAAAACAAATTCGACTGAATTATGAAGCATTTCAAATAAAAATTATAAACGGTTTTTTTTTTTTAAAAAGAAGATTTGTTATATTATACATATATTCAAAACATTTTATCAGTAATAACAAACTAATTTTCATCAAAATTAGAATCTCATAATTGGATTATGAATTATTCTCAATATAAATGTAAAACCTCCATTAGTAGTCACTACAAATTATACTTGTGAAGGTAAAATGTTTTCTAATTTGAAAACTTTCATTATTTATATATTAAACTTGTTTAATTTTATTACTATAGCAAAAATTCAAAGAGCCACGTCATGATTTTGTGGTTATTGCTAAAATATGTTTTAATTCAAAGTAATTTATTACCGACTAAAACTAAATATGAAATATTACACTTTGGTCTGCCCAATCTTATATATTTAGTAAAGTGATATAAACACAAAGAACAAAATAGAAATCTGCGATACGTCAATAGATTTTCTATAATACCTACCCACATAGGGAAAACCTAATTTTTTATCTCAAAGTCAAGGATTAATTAAATTTATTTTAAGACCCAATAGACGATATGTACAAAACAACGATTAGATATCATACAATATAAAAACGGAAGTTTTTCCCAATTTCACATTAAGTCTTCAGTCTCCGTCAACATGAAACTCCTCTTGGCTGTCGTCGGTCTAGTCGTGGCTGTTTCAGCCTACGAGCCCATCAACAATGACTACCACAACACCATAGGTGTGTATGAAGCTGCTCGTATCAAACAAGCTGAAGAATCAGCTGACTTCGATGGCAGCAGGATCACAGGAGGAAACTTCGCATCCCTTGGTCAATTCCCTTACCAAGTAAGTAAATTATGGCAAATTTCGTCTGCACGAGTATTGTTTTTTTAAAATAGACATAAATTTCACTGTAATATTATTTCAGGCTGGTTTAATCATCGCGTTAACTGATGGCAAACGATCAGTTTGCGGTGCTTCTCTAATCAGCAACACCAGATTGGTTACGGCTGCTCACTGCTGGGTTACATCTCAAGCTAGAGCTCGTCAATTCACCGTTGTTCTTGGCTCAATCCAACTTTTTTCTGGTGGTACTCGTATCAACACTAGCAATGTCCGCCTACACCCAAGCTACAATATGTGGAATCTTGCCAATGATATTGCTGTCATTATCATAAACTCCGTCCGCTACTCCAGTAAGCTATTGTATCTTATATAAAACAACTACGTACAAGAAGATTAAAATATGTAACATTTTTAACTGATTTATTTTATTCCAGATAACATTAGGAACATTGGTCTCGCTAGTGGAAGCAACCAATATGTTGGTTCTTGGGCTACTGCATCAGGATTTGGCTATTTTTCTGAGAGTTAGTGTTATAGTTATATCAGATGTATTTAAAACTTCATTTAAATGTAACGATACCAATTTGTAACGTTCTTCAGATTCTGGTGTTTCTACAAGCCTCAGACACGTTAACTTGCAAGTCATCACCAATGACGTATGCAGGCGTACTTATGGAACAACCATCCTAGCTTCCAACATTTGTGTCGCTACTCCCAACGGACGCAGTACCTGTGGAGGAGACTCTGGCGGTCCCCTGGCTATTGGCAACACACTGGTATGTATTTGCATTTCACTTCATATATTATTTAATTTCCTCTTAAAATAATACTTATTTCTTACAGATTGGTGTTACATCTTTCGGTCATCGTGATGGATGCACTATTGGACACCCCGCCGGTTTCGCTAGAGTCACATCCTTCAACTCATGGATCCGATCCATCTAATCTGCTACCATGGTGATTTTTGGTTAAATGATTGCAATATAATTAAATATGGTATTATAAATATATATAGTTTTTTTATTTGAAGACCTAAGTATTCTTATTCGAAGTATAGGAAATAAGATGAAAATTAAGTACGCACTTATTAGATGGTTTTGCTATCGGTGGAAATTAATTTAAAAATTTTAGACTATTAATTATAATTAATTTTTAAAATTTTAAACGTTTAAAAAATTTATGAATAAAGTGATAGTTCTTGAGTAAGTTATAATTTTAGGCAAAATTTTAATATAACTAAATGTGAAAAACACCCACTACTTAAATTTTCATATCGTTCTAATTGGTATTCATTGTTTTATGCCAAGCTAATTGATGACTTTTCGGTGATTAATAAACGTCGGAGTTTTGCTTTGAAGTAGAATAAATGGATTTCATTTCGTCTATAATGTTGCAGTTGAACGTTGTGTAAAATCATTATTTATTTAATTTTTAAAACTGTGTGTATCAGTGACGTATTTATTTAAATCATCGACATCCGTGGATTCACTTTGCGGGTGCGGGGTCCATCACGTTACAGGGCGAGGAGTTTTAACAATGCCTGGGACTCGAAACCAAGGTGTAGGTTTCAGGGGTCCCTCTCTAACGCTTGTTAAACAATACTCATGTCCACCGTCTAAGCTTCTTTCTCTCTCTCTTCTTAGCTCCATTCTAACGCGGTGCCCTTCTCGTGCAATTTCTCGTTCTTGCTCAGATATTTAACTCGCATGTTCCTTTGCCTAATTGCATTACGGCTTCGCTGGGAAAGATTAGACGCGGCATTGTTATGAGTAGTAAAACTGAATATGTACTTATACAAAAACACACATAACAAACAAATTTACTCTTTGCAAACAAATTCAAAGAATAACTAAAATTTTAAGACGGATACAATAGTTTATCCTAGACTAATGTCATCAGCCTATGAACGCCCACTGCTGAGCATAGCCTCTTCTCACATGGAGAAGGTTTGAGCATTAATCACCACGCTTGCTCTTGAGCAAGTCTTGACGGGTTGGTGATTTCAAACTTATAATTGTGAAACTATAAGTCCAGGTTTCCTCACGATGTTTTCCTTCACCGTATGTCAGTGGTGTCTAAATAATCTCAGAAAGTACATATGATTCCGAAAAATCACATTGGTACTTGCCAGGTTTGAACCCGCGCCCTCGGCAACGAGAGGCGGACCCTTTAACCACTAGGCCACCACTGACTATAGACTAATATAGTCACATAAATGCAAAGCTCAGCTTATGTCTCGCCCACTATAATAAACCTCAAAAAAATTAGAGATAACATAAAAAGACATTTACATTTTCGTTAATGTATAAAATAAAACTTAGAAAGTGTTTTATAGAATTTACATAAAATAAATTAATGAACGCATGTCAACCACTACAACGCATGTCTACTTGTGGTATTTGACAGGATGGACCACAAATATTTGACAGACGTACAATGTTAACATTAAGGGAAAATGATTCACCTTTTATAATTATGTTTTCATCGAATTTTCATTATTTTTAAGATTTATTCTGCTATTCGGGGCCGAGACAAATCCAACGAACCAAAAACTATGAAAATTGGTCTAGCCGATCTTGAGTTACGTGCTGTAACAGATACAACTTTCTTTTATATATAGATTGCTAGAATTTTATTGCCTTCACTTATAGGATTATAATTTTTATACATATTTTTTCGGTTCTCTAATTTTTATGCGAGAATATATTACTTTTTATCCTGACGAATAATGTTAATAGCGTAGTAGATAAACTAATAAAAAAATGGAAGTATTGGTTCAATTTTAATAATAAATACACAGAATTCATTGCAGCCTCCACTGACGATCTCGCAATAATGAGAAACACTGTCAACTACGGGATGAAGTCGATAAATTCTGCGAGATGACGGATAGGTTGAGGACAAAACATAATAAATATCACTTTCATAGGCGCAATATACCCCTTACTATCTGAGATGCAATGATGTTGTCATTACATCATTCCGAAAAGACAAATATGTCCCAAAGCTGCAGTCAAGACTTCAACTCCATAAACATGTAATAATAGGAGCACAAAGTAAGAGGGTTAGGATCAAGCTTAGGATAGGAAAAAGGCCGGGGAAAGGGATATATTTAAGTCTTTTATTCGACATGACGAGAGTGCTTACTACGAAATCCATACAATGGGCTTAGAAATTAAGAACAATGTAACCAACATTACAAGACATATAAGGTTTTTGCCTCCCATTAGCACTAAAATTGCGCACCTTAATTCATGAACCAAAATGATGAAGTTTAATATATTTAATTTTAAAAACATGTATCCACTATAATGAGCTCTGACCCGAGTAATAATTTGATGTAAACATTGAACACATGAAAAATGTTTTTAATTTTTATTTTAAAACCGGTTTTCATCTAATTAACTATATGTTTGTTATCACGACTAATATTTATGTGTAAATTCCATTAATGTTGTCATAGATTAAAACAATTAATGATAAAATAAACCCCGACGTTGTAAACATGTTTAACTTATACTAATCATACCTGCTAAATAAGATAGCAATCAATTCTTGTAAGAGATAATTATATTGATAATTTAATATTTTAATTAGTAATTTGGATAAATATGGAAAAACCTATGAAGGACGTTTAAATTAAAAATTAATTGGAAAATATAATGCGAAAAACTTTTTGACACGAGTAGCATTCGATACTGAACCTTCCGGGAATATATATCATGTCTCGACTCAAGTCGGTGAATCAATCATACTAGTTTCAAATTTTTTAAGGGGGCTTAAAAGAGGATTATGGAACTTTCTAAAGCGTTGCAGATTAATATATATATCCAGATACGTTGTACCCTGTAAGGAAGTACCTTAATTAAATATGAGCTTAATTTTCTTAGGTGGTAGAGCCTAGCTGTAGTCAGTTACTACTTACTACAGCTCGAAAATGGGCTGGCTCGACCGGGGAAGTACCACCCTCTCACAGAAGATCGGCGTGAAGTAGCCTTTAATGGCTGCGTTTCGTCCGATGAGTGAGAGAGCCGGTTGCCCTTTCCCTATTCCTATCCTTTCCTACCCTTCCTTTATTCCCACTTCTCCCTATCCCTAAAAAACAAGGTTGGCAACACATCCACAACAAATATGTTGCGGATGTCAATGGGCGATGGTAACCACCTTCCATCAAGTGGGCCGTCAGCTCGTTTGCCACCATTCACATAAAAAAAAAAAAAGCTTAATATAAGCAGGTCAAACCAAAGAAGGATTAGTTAATTACATGATAAAAAGCGAATTTACCACTAATCCGACCATTTGAAAATGACGTAAAGAAAGAGGAGGGTTACCAAGTTGTTAGAAAAAGCATGGTATTTATTTTTATTTTTAAGAAAATAATATGAGTATAACAAAAAACATATAATGTGCAATTTCCACGAGCCGAAGTATTAAACACTTTTCGATAAAGTTTAGTAGCGTGATTCTCCTCTCAACGTTTCTGTTTCCCCCCTCATTACGAGTATATCTATATTCTTACAGACTAAGTAATTAAGTATAAGACGTATCAATACGTTATACTAAGTATCTATATGTTATGTGTTAACCTATAGTTTATCTAAACCATATCATCATCATCATCAGCCGAAAGACGCCCACTGCAGGACATAGGCCTCCCCCAAGTATCTCCACGACGACCGGTCTTGTGCCACCCGCATCCAGCGGATTCCCATAAACCATATACATATATCTTAATCTAACGTGCTTGATTATTATCTGAAAGGTGCAAATTTTTTTGCAAATTCTTCGATTAATTATTTTTCTTGATCACTCTCAAATATGTATTACGTTCGACGAACAGGGGTGGGGGTTGTCGTATTAAAGGATAATCTGACGAGCTCAAACATGTTGATTCAACAGTTTTTTTTACAATTTTAAAAATCTATAGCTGCTCCCCACGTTAAATACAAATTATGATATACATCATAGGTATACCATTTTTCTTTTTATTATCTAAGCTTTTACAACTCAATAGGTCTCCTTTTACGACACTTGTGGTCGCACGTTTAGTGCTAAAATTAGGTATTTTAGTCACGTGAGGTCGCATCACAGGTCTTAAATATTACCTTTTTTTAAGAATATAAAACAAATCTAAGTCACGATAGCCGAAAACGGCTGGGTAGACATATATATATATATATGTATATATAGGTCTCCTTAATGATCGAGTAAAACTCCCCTTAAATATATTTAATCGACATATCAGGCTAGAGATGCCATCTATTGAGGCTTCTCAAGAGAAATAATAATCACTATTTTCTATCTTTATAGTATAAAAAACAAGAACATTAAAGTCGTCTAAATGATTTTAATATAGAAGCTAAGTTGAGGTTAAGGTCCTTGCCCTAGCTCAATGATCTTACATAAAGAAACAATAACAGAGGCACACGATCACGTTTTTTTTTATGCGCACTGGGAAAAAATGTTTTACGAATCCTGTTTACATCCAGCCCCCCGCTGGCGAACACGATCACGCCTATTATGATATTTTACTAATTAACAATTTTTCAAAGCTTGGGTTGCTTTTCATTCCAATTTTCATAACACTCCTCCTATAGAAAATTGCTATTAGATTGGTTAACATGTCAAGAATCCCACCTAGTAATCAGCTAAGAATTGAATTAGTTTGTTAATAACTTAAATTGTGTTATAATTTATTTTTTGACGTTATTAGTTATGATTGATTCTTCGACCCTATGCAACTGTAACATAAAGTTGTGTAGTTAAAAATTATTTGCCACTTCTTGGTTCTAAATTTTAACTTTAAATGTATAAAAGACGAATGATATTGCTATTAAAACAAGTCAGGAAATAAATAAATAGAAAACTATTTGATAAATGATGTGATTACAGATTCGGTAAAGTTCCTGAAACACACAATTATCTTATATATTTTACACTCACTC